GCTAACCCAGGTGCTGAGCTACCAATCCACCCCCAGTCCACAGAGACTGGCGGAGGCACAAGAGATGATGTGGTTTCAATGAGCTTCTAGAGTGTGTTTGAACAAGAATAAGTGGGTTTTAATGAGGCGAGGAGGACACAATTATGCTTTATTAAACCTTGTGCAGATTTACAAATTAAATAGTCAAAACAAGAGTGCCGGTCTTTGCTTTGTACTTTTTTTTTCTGTTGAAGGACATTAATCAGGCAGTGATCTCTGATCTGAATCTCAACCAACTGTAAATGAATAGCAGAGAAAGCAAATTAGACAGATACAGTGCATTAATGCCTGCCCACTTTTGGTTCCGGAAGTATTTTTCCCATAGCGATTGTTAAAAATTCTTTGATAAAGCATTATAAGCTATGAACCAAGCCAACCACCTACACAGGAGAATCACAACATTACAAACTTCTGAAGCAAAAAAGAAAATAAAAAATGGACAAAAAGACAAAGGTACAAGACTGTGTACTTAGTGAGACAAGGAACTACAGTCCCATGAAACATTGCAAATGACATTAATCACATTTAAAAATGTATAGATACAAATTTAACTCATTTAAATTTGTTGGTTGTATCTAAAGAAGAAAATGCACTGCAAAATATGCATTTATATACTACCACCTCGATTACATAATTTGCTGTGCTTCATGGGACTGGGCAAAGCTAAATATCTCTTATGGCATGGTTTGCTTTCTGATTGGTGGACTTTTCTGTACAGCGCCATGGCTAATGTAACTTTTCAAATTCTACTATTAAACAATTATTTAAAAAATAAGTTGAATGCATGCAAACAAATAGGTTCAACAAAAGCATATAAAATCTATTAAAGGGGTCATATGATGCGATTTCAATTTTTCCTTTCTCTTTGGAGTGTTACAAGCTCTTGGTGCATAAAGAAGATCTGTAAAGTTGCAAAGACTAAAGTCTCAAATCCAAAGCGATATTCTTTATAAAAGTTAAGAGTCAACCACGCCTACCTAAAACAGCTCGTTCTAACACACCCCCACATGTCTACGTCACTATGTGGGAAGATTTGCATAACACCGCCCAAATGTTCACGCAAAGAAAGAAGGCGTAACTTTTATTCTCGCTGTAGTATTGTTGTTGTCGCTATGTCGTGAAGACGCGCTGTGTGTTTCGTTGTGAAAGTGAAACTACTTTGTTTGGCCTTCCAAAAGAGTACACGACTAGAAATCAGTGGTTAAATTGTATTTACAACTTTTTTTTACTTTAAACCGCATAAACACATTTCATTTCACCAAATACACAAAATAATGTTCTTTTTAGCAACATCATATGACCCCTTTAACAACCTTGGACCTCACAACAGGTCTGTCTTCACTAAAGAGAAAATTAATGGAGTTTTACTTCCAGAATTTGTCTGTTGCGCTCTAGAGTGCACTGTGACATGTACATGCAAAAGTACCAGTAACCACAAAAAAACTGAAGTGTTACTGTTTTACTGAATTGTAAAATGGCTACAACTCTGTTAGTTTCTGCGCACCACTCATTCATACTTTAAATGCTACTTCTCCCTTATACTACAGATTGAGGACAGTGTTAGTTTATTTATAATCACCTATTGCACTCTTGCATGATTTAGTCAATCAGCACTAAATTCTTCCACATGCTGGCCTTCTCGTGCCAAAACCCCTCTTAATCCCTTGAAATTCTTCATAGTGACTAACACTAAATGGGTGCACTCTGACAGCATGACGAATCTATCTCTGAGCTGTAAGTAATGCTGTATTTCACTGTGCTTCTATCTATGTGCTGGACATCTCAAACAGCAAATCGAACTAAGCTGGCACAACCCATTATTTTGCTTTCATGCTCTAATACACAATTTAAAAAATGGAGATGAATCAAAGACCTAGTTTTGGTCGACAGAGGAACATACATCATGTTTAACAGGTTAAACACACTGTAAAAAAAAAAATACGGTAGCAACGTTTTAGGTTTTACGGTTTTAACTTAAATTTACAGTTAAATACCATATTTTCATTAACTAATATAATGTTGATATACCAACCTATTGAAGTACTGAAATCTGTTTTGCACCTTTGTAATACACTGATAATCACCAAATGCAGGTGGTGATGAGAAAGTCACATGATGAACCAAATGGTGGTTCATTCAACCAAATGGTGGTTCGTCACAAGTAGCTTTTAAATAATAACATATATAGAAGGTGCAGTGTCATTCACACAAACGCTAAACAGCATCATGGTAACACACATGAAACTGAAATAATGCAATAAACATTAATTTAACAACATTAGGTGTAACACACAACCCTAATATACAAAACTGATAAGAAAAAACTAAGAAGAAACATAGTTATTTCAACAAAAAAACATCAAATTTGAAATGTAACAGGGAATTCTGGGAATGTCAATTTACGGTTATTCACTGTAAATTATACGGTCTTTTTCACTTCCAAAAACGGTATACTACCGTAAAATTTATGTCCAATACATGTAATGTCCGATACAGTTTTTCACCGTATACAGTAGGGGAATTTAACAGGTTTTTACTGTAACATTTTTACAGTCTTTTACCGTTAAATTCACTGTCATTTTTTACAGTGTAGGTCATATCATGCATTTTTCTGATATAATATTCGTTTGCACCCTCTCTTTAATTCTTAAAATTAAACAGTCCATTTTGTGTTGCTGCAGCCTGCAGCTTTAAAAAAATCCCCCTTTGCGTGTGAAATGAGCATCAGCGCTGACTGAGTGATGTCCTAAGGTGCTTTCACACCAGTTTGCTGTGATGTCAAATATAGTTTTTAATTCCCACATACTTTATAAACAGCCACACACATTGTGACAGATGTGCTGTTAAGATCAGAGTGAAGGGATCAGACCTTGTTAAAAATAAACTTCAGTGCATAAACCTCAGCCCTTACTTGCTGTTACATTACTCTCCACACAACTGTGACATCACAAAGCTGCTGATTATCAATTGATCATTTTATGTAATTTTATTTCATCGTTCTGTTCATGATGTCAAGTTTTGAAAACTAAAATGAGTCCTAATATATATCAAGCTCTTTGCAAAAGAATGAAAGAATGAATATGTGTTTGTTTGAGATATTACCCCTTTAAAGTTTCATTACAGATTAAATTTTCATGGCTTAAATACCAGTCTTTTTCTCATAAAAAGCTATCATGCATGGCTTCAGAAGACATGGACTATAGTATGTTTATGATAGTTTTGTGGTGCTTTTTGTCCTTTCTGGGGCCTGGTCCCCTTCCACTTTCAATGCATGAACATGCGCATAAATTCTTCTAAACGTTTAAAAATCCATACTGATTTGGAATAACATAAGGGTGAGTAAATGATGACAGAATTTTCATTTTGCACTATAAGTGAATTAACCCTTTAAGGGCACTGCATTCAATTATAAAGCCCTATATTAGAGGCAAGATCTGAGCAACATAACTGCATGTAGGCTACATGTCACCTATGATATCTAGCATGTCTTCTGCCTCTCAGCTGTGTTACATCAGCAACAGAGTAGAGTGCATTGTTGCAGCACGCTTCTTACTTCCTTCTTCCTCTCATTCATTCATTCTTCAATGTCATTTCACAACACTAGGACCTGCCAAGCAAATCTCTCCCAATCAGTTTCAGCTACAATGTGGGTCACATACAGACCCCTCAATCATGCTTGAAACTCAGCTAATGTACAACAGGGGCTTTCAACTCGCTAGTGGACGTGGGAGGAGGAAAAAAAGAGTGCAATTTCCAGAAAGTGCTACTGACTTCCTTGTGTCTGGGGCTGGTCAACAGAAAAGAGCTGCTATTACATCATGGAGCTGTGCTGAAGTGATCTGTGAACTCTGACTGCCAATAAGAACTATGCGAGACATTCTGCTCTCTACATTTGATTTTGTACCATACATACTCAATGGAGACTGCAAGATGAGTTTAAAGCTGACAGAGCACTGACATCATTTCAAGGAGAGTGAACATTAGGTCACTGCTAAAAAAATCAACCCAGGTTTCTTCCTCACACCCTGTAATCCTTCATCATGGATTAATGGATAATAGCTTCACATCAGAACTGTGCAATGACAGGAGCAGGGAGAAAACGATCTAAAACAAGCAGTGCACTTAGAAACAGGTTGATCAACCACCACCACATAGCTAGAAACACAGCATAGATTAATGCAGCAGAAAACAGAGCCCCTTAATAAATGCTTTTTCAAATGAACAGTATAACACTGAGTTTTACTGAATCATCCTATGCCTTTGCTTAAGGATACTGTATAAAAAAATCTAACTGTAAATTGGCTGTATAAAAGTCCATGCTATAAAACAGGTACTTAAATAGCCTACGCTGTCAGACAAGATGTGCAGCAATTACACCTTTAGGGGTACAACAGCTTGTCACTGGGGCAGTACTTTCCGACTTTGTACCTTATCTGTCCCGAAAAAGTACATATTAGTAGTAATATGTACCTTTAAGGTACTACTATGAAGCTTGCAGGGGTAAATGAGGTCCTGTAACCTTGTAAAGGCTGACATATGAAATAATAGTCTTTATTATTTTAGGGGAAAAAAAGCAATATTATTCAGAGGCCCAAAAAATTCGCAATTTGGTACACAAAGTAATAAAGGTACCTTTTTTTCTGAAAGTGTGCATTGCCTTTCTTTAAGGTCACATCACTTTATATGACAGCTGCTTCCATCCACGTTGACTTACATGAACTACATACCCTTATTACAGGTTCAGTCAGCTGACATTAGTGTCTTGATCAAGGACACAATGTGGGCAATACATACTTCAACGTTATGGGATTGACTTTTAACCATTAAGCAGCACCGCTCCACTTTCTGCCATACAACTGTAACCTAAAAGCTTAGTCAGAGTAACAGCTAGAGTCTAAAGGTTTGGTCTTGTCCAGCCACGGTGTTTTTAAATCTCTATTTAAAGGCTTTAATCAGCTTACCAGATTGAAGATCGTCTCCACAATGTCCCGATTGGAGACTTCACCAGCCTCCAGGAGCCCCGCCAGCACGGCGAACTTCATGCGGATTCCTCTGATGGGGATCCCGCCAGCGCTGTCACCTGCGCTCGCCATGACGGAGTCAGGTGAGAGGTGAGAGGGGAACAGGTGCGACACCTGTTTGACCCTACAGCCGAGTTAAACTATGGAGAAATGTATGGCAAATAAATATCGCTCTCGTGAAGTTGACAGAGGTGAAAAACAGGTCCTGGTCAACATTCACGGCTAGTTTATACGTTAGTGTCTCGCGCTTTCGGCGGGAAGTGTCCGTTGATGTCACTACACCTGACTGACAGGAATTGTTCTACTGTAGAGAGGAAAAACAGCTATTAACTTGTCCAAAGGAGGACGAAATCGCGCTGTGGTGAGCCCAGATAAGAAACACAATATTTGTCAATCTATGCCGGTCTCTTAAAGGAAAGATATCTAAACAACAATGTCACTGAAGTGTTTGCGAGTGTCAAACAGGAAACAGCGGTGCTGAAGAGATTCCGCGCAGGTAGACGCACCGATAAGAACAAGACGCAAAAAAACTACAAAATATAAGGCAAGGAACGTCCGACATTGGCTCTCAGGGGTCCCTCCAAAGAGAAGACAATCCTCCTGGTCCCTGTGGGAACTGTTGGAGTGAAGTTTCCGTGGTAACCCACTTTACAGCGCCATCTCTTCCTGAATCAGCTCCTACTCCGCTCCGTCTCCGCCATGACAGTGGAGCTGCGTGAGAGAGAGCTGCGCATGCGCAGTGCGCCGAGAGAGGCGAGAAAGGGGGGCTCAGGTGTGTCAAGGGCTAGACCTGTTAGGACAGAGTGACACTTCATACTGGAGATCTTGTGTCAGGGACGCGCTGTTGTGGTGGTTTACGATAATGCACTTGTCACATAGAGACATAATAAAAGCCTGGCATTCATTAGAAACGTGGTTTGCACTAAGATTTAACTTATTAATATCAAAGCAGAGGCATGTTTAGAGTTTTGGAGCCTTAAGCAAGCGTTCCAGGGGAGCCCCCCTCGGTAGAAATCGCGTTCCAGATGGGCCCCACGAAACTGCGTGGGTTGCGTGGTGCCTACTGTATCAATGTTGTATCAAACTACTGTAGCCTATTAAAGAATGTGTTATCGTTATTCATAATAATATTTGTAATGTGCATTGTGCAGTATAAGAATCATATGTATTTTCTTATGTTTTCTGTACTTCAGTGGTCTGTCAAACTATTTACAAATAAAAAAAAACTAAGCATGAAAAGAACATGTCAAGAGTGAGATAACTTCTGGAAGAACAGAGAACCTGCAGCTGTGCATAAATACAGATATTAGCCTTCCTGTAGCACTAATTCAATTATTATTATTAAAATTATTATTAAAGTACCTTTATTTGCAGAGTAGGTTGCTTTGGATAACAGTATCTGCCAAATGCATAAATGTAAAGAATAAGTAATAGATTGTCCATTCCAGCCTGAGAGACTGAGACCACATGATTTCTTGTTCCTGGCACTTAAAAATGAAAAACTAAGTCATAATTTACTCAATCTCATGTCATTCCAACCATGACTTTGTTTATTCTCTGGAACACAAAAAAGTGTTTGTTTATTTGCTTGTTTGTCCATACAATAAAAGTCAATGAAGTCCAGTGGAATTGTTTGGACCTGGACTTGGATGTGTTTTTAAAGTATATATATATATATATATTTTTTTTTTTTGTGCATATGTGTTCTGTAGAGTATGCAGTGAGAAAATAATGATGGAACTGAGTCAACTATCCATTTAAGTGTGCATGAAATAAATTTTAAAAATCACCCTTTATATTTTTTAATGCATGTTATTGATCTTATTGATGATTCAGCCACGTTTCTTTTTTTTTGTCTTGTCATTTTTAATCACAATGTCATAACGTGATCTTTCAATAAAAGCAACAGACTTCTCGCTGGTGATGTATATGCCTGATTTCTCTAATCATTTACTCTGCTTAAACCCATCCCTCCACAAGCAACTGCAAGCTGGCATTAATTTTTGAGTGCAATGCCCACAACTCAAAATCCAATCAACAACCAATAGATAGAAACGAGTCACCTCCATGCATTTTTTTTTTCTGTTTTGATAATCCACTACATTCAGATGTGCATCACAAGTAAAGTTGCTTCTCCTTTTTCATTTTGACTTTAAAGAATTAGTTATTTCACCTATCTAAATCTGAGTTCAGATTTGAGATACTCATGATAATTTAGATTTAAGTGTTCAAATTTTCACACAAAGAGTTATATCTATGTAAACTTAAATTTTTAAGACAGACCAATAGCCTATGCGCAGAAGTCTTGAATATTAAGGAATTTTCAAGACTATATTCAAGAATAAATGTGCTCACTGTCTTATTATATTCAAAGTGTGGTTTCATGGCCCCTTTGAGTCGCTGCCAAGGAGTCAGCAGCACATTGACTTTGTTGACTCTAAATACAGTCCCTCTGGGCCATAGAATTAAAGGTCTAGACTCTGTAGCAACAAAGAACAATTTGTCACACAGGCACTGAACTTTATACTGACATCACACAGATGCATACATAAATTCAGTAACAAGCATTAATTACAAAAATAAATTGACAGAAAAATGCTTTTTTTTTTTTTTACCATAGAATTTTTATTGTTGCAAATTGCATTTTTACATTTTATACCCCCCCATCCACCATATACACCCCTACCCAGCCCCAACAAAGCAATCCCCAATTAAAACACAATGACATCTGAAAAAAAAAAAAAAAAAAAAAATTAAACAAAACATACAAATACAAAATACAAAAAACACATAAAACAAATGAATAATAATAATAAAATAAGGGGTATACATATATACCTCCACTCAATCCACGTCTAAGATTTGTAAATCATTAAAGAACGTGATCAATTGTTGCCATTTTTCAAAAAAAGGTTCCCCCCTACCTCTGATATGGTACTTAATTTTTTCAAGTTTAAAAAAAAGACCAAATCTTTGAGCCAAATTGAAATAGACGGGGGTTTAGGGGAGGTCCAAGATAATTCTGTGCCTAGCAAGAAGAGATGCAAAAGCTATGACGTCAGCCTGTCTCCGGCTTAAAGACTGACACCGAGAAGGAACACCAAAGATTGCAATCAAAGAAGAAAAATGCTTCTTTACCCTCCTTCCAAATGTTTTCTTTTCAAATATAACAGGACAGACTAGTGTTTGTCGCAGCTATTTAAAGATGCCTGATACAGTGCAAATAAAAAAAAAAATAACATCTGAGGGAAAAAAAAAAAAAAAAAAAAAAATATATATATATATATATATATATATATAAAACAAATTAATAATAATAATAAAATAAGGGGTATACATATATACCTCCACTCAATCCACGTCTAAGATTTGTAAATCATTAAAGAACGTGATCAATTGTTGCCATTTTTCAAAAAAAGGTTCCCCCCTACCTCTGATATGGTACTTAATTTTTTCAAGTTTAAAAAAAAGACCAAATCTTTGAGCCAAATTGAAATAGACGGGGGTTTAGGGGAGGTCCAAGATAATTCTGTGCCTAGCAAGAAGAGATGCAAAAGCTATGACGTCAGCCTGTCTCCGGCTTAAAGACTGACACCGAGAAGGAACACCAAAGATTGCAATCAAAGAAGAAAAATGCTTCTTTACCCTCCTTCCAAATGTTTTCTTTTCAAATATAACAGGACAGACTAGTGTTTGTCGCAGCTATTTAAAGATGCCTGATACAGTGCAAATAAAAACCCTGTGCTAATGCATAATGTCAGTTTTAGTTATGCAGCTATTGTGAATGAGTGAAGTGTGAGCTTTTGTTTTTGAGATTCTAAAGAACAGTGTGAAAGATAATGTTTTTAAATAACTATGATATTCATCTGTGCAGTTTTGCCTTTGGAAACAATAAGGAATGCAATATGATCATTTTAATAGCATAATAATAATAATAATAATAATAATAAACAATAAAAATAAAACTATTTTCATTATTATTATTATTATTATTTCATGATAAGAATAACAGGGCAAGAGGATTGAATGTTAGTAATTAATTTACTGAACTATTTATTTAACTAAATGAGATTTACAATTTGTTTAGTCATTTCAGTTTTTAATTTCTTTTTTGTTTTATGATTGATACAGAAACTTGACTGAACAGATTAAATGATCGGGTCCTCTAGACACCCTGATTGAATTTTCCATCAATACAATTTATTATAGGTTTAATAGTTTGAATGTAATTAGACTTAAGACAGCGTAATAATAGTAATAATAACAGGGTTTGTTGCATAATTGATGCAACAAACATTGCATTATACTGTGTGTATATATATATATAATATTGCATTAATAAATAACACACACACAGTTCACCCTAAAATTATCATTTTCTAGGCATACTCTCAGATCTTTGGTTACCCACATTCTTCAAAATAATTATGTTCTTTTATGTTGAACAGTAGAACGAAACTCATATAGGTTTGCATCAACTTCAGGGTGAGCAACTGATGATAGTTATCAGGGTAAACTATGTTTGGGGTAAACTATCAAAAGTCCTTTAGAACTATCCCTTTAAGTAGTACGTATAACTAAAGTTCCTATTTTTCGCATTGGCACGCATTTTTCGCATTACATTGGCACGCGATTCTCAAATTCTATATAAATTATTGTTTTGCATTTTATGTTTAAAAAAAAAAAAGACTCCACAGTGACATTGCATCATGATCATTGTAGTGTCTGAACTTTTGCATGCCTGAAATCTGGTGTGACCACCCTTCTTGTATTGTTGTGCTGTAAAAATTTAACAGCAGCGTTGCTTTGGTGTTTTTGTTTGGAATGTGTCTTAAGATACTACTGCAAGTTTCTTCATTTTACATCTTAAAAGTTTTCCGATTAATGAGAGAGTTCTCCCAAAATTAATCTTGTCATTTATTCACCTTCATGGCATTTCAAATCCATAAGACTAGATACTACAAGAAACCTGAGAGATGTCCATTTCTCTCTATATTTGTCTAATTGAAAAAGTTCTACATAATGTAGCAATTTTTGAGTTGCTGTTTGTGCAGGCTGTGTTCTAACATGCTAATGGACTGTGTTCTTTCCCGTCAGACAATGATTGAGGCCCACGTCGATGTGAAGACCACTGATGGCTATCTTCTCCGCCTGTTCTGCGTGGGCTTCACTAAGAAGCGCACCAACCAGATCAGAAAGACTTCCTATGCTCAGCACCAGCAGGTCCGTCAGATCCGCAAGAAGATGATGGAAATCATGACCCGTGAGGTCCAGACCAATGACCTCAAGGAGGTGGTCAACAAACTGTACGTATGAAGTTCTCCCCATTATCCATGCAGTACAGTACATGCATTACACTTTTGTGTTAAATCGGCTCCTGGAGGTCCACCTTCCTGCATAGTTTTGGTGGGTGTATTTGAAATAGCCCTGGAATTGGGCTAAGAGTGTGGTTGAAATACTGGGTGTTATTGGCTGTTGTAAAGATTAAGTAGTCAAATTATTCATCTTAGTATTTTTAATTGTCATTATAGCACTTTTTATACATTGGAGCTCATGAATACAGTGTCATTAACATAACTTTTGAGTGTTGAAGTAATGTAGATTGAGCAGTGCCTCTTACAACTTGCTTTACCGGGGTTTTAACCTGAAAACTTTGTTGGCAGTCTTGATCTATAACTGTTATGCAGTTGTGTGTAATAAATGGTCTCCTCTTTTGTTCTGTAGGATTCCTGACAGTGTAGGCAAGGACATTGAAAAGGCCTGCCAGTCCATCTACCCTCTACATGATGTCTATGTCAGAAAGGTTAAGATGCTGAAAAAGCCCAAGTTTGAGCGTAAGTTGAAATGTGTGATGAACATGCATGGCTTGTTTTGACTTTATTCCATTTATGCTCATGATAGAAACTTAACAAATTAAATGTGTATGGAAATAACTTTTTTGATTCCTAAGCCATTTACCAAATCAAATTAAGAACCAACAATTTGAACTTGCTTATTAGACAGTTTTACTTGTTGGAGAGCTAATGTATTTCTGAATTTTTCTTGTACAGTTGGTAAGCTGATGGAGCTGCACGGTGAGGGTGGAACCAGCAGTGCTGCTGCTAAACCTGCAGAGGGTGACACTGGGGCCAAGGTGGAGAGAGCTGATGGATATGAGCCCCCAATCCAGGAGTCTGTCTAAAACTCCCAACACAAACAGCTGGTGTCAATAAACATGTAAATTTGAGTCTTTGTGTACTGTTGTTGTTTTTTTGTTGTTTTTTATATGCATCACATCAAACCTGCTGAATATCATTGTTATGCTTTCATATCTCCCAGTCAGAAAAATCAGTTTACAGTCTGTTTTGGCACTTTTGGAATTTAACATTAACTTTCAGGGTTGATTTTTAGTAATTTCCAGGTGTGGGCAAGTATGGGAATAAAAGAAAAGAGTATGGAGAGAAAAAAAATATTTTGTTTCCATAGTATTGCCCCCATTTTATTTTATTTTTTACAAAATAAAAAAACTGACAATTTCTAAGGACAAATATATCTGATGAGTGTTTTTCATGGTGTTTGGAGCAGGCAGCCGTCACTTGCAAAATGTTAGTGATTCCAAAAGAATACAAGACTATTTCCTTGATACAAAACTGTATGTCTTCACCATAAACATTTCTCTTGAATTTAATTAAATGAATCTGGTTGATAAATGTTAAGATAAGTTTACAGTATCAAACTAATGTGTCAGATTAATATATGCAGGTTATAAAGCATGTTAAGTTTCCTCTCATGATGTGAGGGAATGTTATGAGTTCCAGAGCCAATACATGACTGGGTCTGCACTGTGTAAGAGCAAATGAATGTTTACAGGCTGTACTAAATTAAACACCATTGTAACCACTCCAGACATTGCTGACAAGTCCCCCAAGATTTGATCATTTTGATGCTGCATTGCATTACACACCCGGATGTTACATTTTACAGGGTTTCTACAGGTTTTATGAAAGTCAATTTAATACTTGACCTTTTTAAGTCCAAAATGTAAGAAGTAAGGGAACACAATACATCCATATGTTTTCTAAATATAAATGTCTGGAGCACCCAATGAGTTGTATTGGCAATACTAAAACTACAACTTCTCAATCTCTATTACTCTTCTATTAATAATAATAAAAAAAAAGATTAGAGATTGAATAGCTCTGCTCCCAACCAGTTGACTATGAAATTAACTTTTACTGTACTTTTTGATCACACTGCAAAAAATTCCATTATTCCTTGTTTTCCAGTGCAAATGTCTAAACATTCTTAAATAAAGATAATTGATTACATAGTTGTTTTGTTCTGTGAAATCAATCAAAATGTCTTTGATTTAAAAGAAAAAATATCCACCAACAGCTTTAGGCAAAGCAACCTAATTCAAAGGAAAAATAAGTCTTCATACCCCATTTACAGATTTGTTCTTGTTTTTTCTTCATATCTTAATTTTGCATCTCAAGTAAATGTATCTTGATATTTGTATTGGAAAATGACAAAAAATACCGAAGAAGATATTAATTTTTAGGAGAGCATGCAACATTTAATGCCATGACTTTATCAATATAAGATTTTCTGCTACGATTTATGACCTTTTTAAGGCCTTCGATTGTTGAAGGGTGAATTAAGTCCTTTTAAGACCTGTAGAAACCCTGATTTTAAAATAGTATGATTCATCTAACATCATTCATCTGTCAAAATTATTCAGATGGCCAAGTTTTTATGAATCATCATATTTTCCCCCCAATTTTTCATGCTCCATCTAGCTGGGGAAAAAAACCTATTTAAAGGAGAGTAAGACTTGAGACACACTTTGGGTTAAGTTTATAGGTTAGAACTCAAGTCTGAATAATAAAAATATGTGACCCTGGACCACAAAACCAGTCATAACTTAAGGGTCAATTTTTTTGAAATTGAGATTTATACATCATCTGAAAGCTGAATAAATATGTTTTCCATATGGTTTGTTAGGTTAGGACACTATGTGGCTGAGATACAACTATTTGAAAACGGAGGGTGCAAGAAAATCACCTTTAAGTTGTCCAAATGAAGTTCTTAGCAATGCATATTACTAATCAGAAATTACGTTTTGATATATTTACGGTAGGAAAGTTAAAAAATATTTTCATGGAACATGATCTTTACTTAATATCCTAATTATTTTTGGCATAAAAGAAAAATCTATCATTTTGACTATTTGGCTATTGCTACAAATATACCCGTGCTGTGACTGGTTTTGTGGTCCAGGGTCACATATGAATTATCAATTAGTCACCAACTAGCCAGCACTAGTGATTAAGATTAGCAGATGCAGATATTAAATATGCATTGATTTACAAGCAAGCACTTTTTTTATTTAATTCATCAGATACTGGACTTGATATTTCCCAGAGCAAAATGACTCAAAACGTAGACTGTCAGTATTAGTTCAGTAGATTCACAACCAATGAAATGCTCCTTCACAGGCCGCTCTTAAATTCAAGCTGGATATGAGGCCGTATCTACAACTCAATCAGGTTGCACAGGTAGTCCAGCTCCTCCAGGATGACACTTCCATATGTGCTGTCACAAGGACTTTTGGTGTGTTTCCCAGCACAGTTGTTGAAGGCTGATGAAAGACAGCAACCCAGCAGCAGGACTGATATCTGCTACTTTGTGTGAGGTGGAACAGGAGGAGCACTGTCAGAGCTCTCCAAATGGCCTCCAGCAGGCTACTGGTGTAGATGTTTCTGAATAAACTGTCAAAAACAGACTCCATAAGGGTGGCATGAGGGCCCGGCATCCTGTAGTGGGACCTGTGCTCACAGCCTAGCACTGTGTAGCTTCATTGGCATTTGTCAGAGAACACCAGACTTGGCAGACCCACCATTGGTACCTGATTCTCTTCACGGCTGAGAGCAGGTTCACATTGAATATGTGACACACGTAAAAAAGTCTGGAGAAGCCATAGAGAATATTAAGCTACCTGCAACATCATCCAGAATGACGGGTTTGGTGGTGGACCACCGATGGTCTGAAGAGGAATATCCTTGGCAGGTCATACAGACCTCCATGTGCTAGCCAACCATACCCTCACTGCTGTTGGGTACTGGGATGAAATCCAGTCAGACCTTACGCAGGTGCAGTGGGACCCGTCTTCATGTGGCTGGAGTGAGTAGGCGGTTTCTTGATGATGAGGCACCAATGCAATTGACTGGCCCTCATGTTTCTCTGACCTGAATCCAATTGAGAACTTCTGGGATGTTATGTATTGGAAGGTCCTAAGCCACCAAGTAGCACCACAGACTGTCCAGGAGGTCACTGATGCCCTCATCCAGGACTGATTGATTAGTGGGGATCCCCCAGGGCGCCATCTACCATTTCATCAGGAGCATCCTTAGACATTGTATGTTGTGTATCATACACACATATACAAATATATTTTTGTAGATGTATAAATGAAGATGAATAGAGAATTTTAGAATAGAGTAGAATGAATAGAGAGCATTGTGTTAGCAGCGCAAAAGGTAGTGGGTTCAATTCCAAGGGAACACACATTTTTTGGATAAAAGCTTCTGCTAAATGCATAAATTATTAATAATTATATAGAACATGTAACAGTGCTCATGCTGCTGATATTTAGTGTTAAATGAGCCTCAGCATTCTTTGTCAGTACAGCAGTCTGAGTTTACATTTAAAAATCAACACAACTGTTCCTGAAGCCTCGAAGCCCGATCACATGTGCTAGAAGCTCTTCACAACACTTCAGTTTGGTAAGTTTCAGTAATTTGTCCAATTTTTGAAGTGTTTTTCCAGGCATCTTCATGGAGCAGCATCGCCTGAGAAGAACCAGGGCTTTTCCTCACACCTGAGGGGTGTCTCTTCCAGTCAAGGCTTCTGTGATCTTTCACAACTGGCAGGTGTAATCAGGTTGGGTCACACTTACAGCTGCATCTCTGTGAAAGCTCGAAGACCCAATGGTTTGGAGGAGAGCTATTTGAAAAACGCTGCTGTCCTTCCCAACATCATTCTAGCAGCCTCAGTCTCTACAGTAGATGTGTGTCCAGCACCTTTGTGTCAGCCTGTCTCTATCCACAGCTACAGTGTGCAGTTTACCAGGACATTTACCACTCTGTGGCAGAGCTCATGATGAAGACACGCTGTGGTAGGCGCCGTCTCTACAGCCTTGAGCTGGGACTGAAGATCAAGCAGCGACTGTGGGAGACACTGAGTTGCCCTTCCCTGCTGGAGATGGAGGAGCCTGATGGATGCATCCTGATCACTGAGAGCTTCTCCACAACCAGCAGAAGCTTCGCTCCTCAAATCCATGTGGACATCAGTAAAGAGCCCCTGCCTGAAGAAACCATGAAATAAGAAGACCAGAAACAGTGTCATCACATATCTAAATATATACATTTACATATATTTTCATATATACAGTTAAGTTTGTAAATAGTTTTAGTATAAGTAAGTTTATAGTTTGTAGAGTACGTATTTTTAAGCATTTTTTTCAGCACATTGGAACAAGGTTGTCAGGATGTTTTGGGTGGTTTCCTGTGCATTGACATGCGTTTGCCAAGGTTTTCTGAGAAGTTGTGAGCGTGGTACTTTGCAGTTGCTTGACCCTTCTGAATGTTTTATTGCATTGCTGCATGGTTATTATGATGTTTTGGGTGGTTTCCTGTGCGTTGACATATTTCCCAAGGATTTCTGTGCAGTTGTTAGCGTGTTGAGAGCTAAACCACTGGTACTTCACAACTACAGGTAGGGTCACCCATAGTGGACAGGTCTCAGCTGAGATACCAGATGAAGACAAACCATTTATCAAGCCATTTTTTGTTTTATTTGTTGTGTGTACCATACAATTTTATCACATTACAAAGATAAAATAAATGTGAGAACATAGAGCAGTTTTAATTAAAATTATTTATTTTATTTTTGTAGTTACCATTTTTTTACTTTTCAAATGTTATTTTATGTTTGTGCTTTTAAAAACAATCAGACTTTCCCACGTCTAATTAGACTTATTTCACATTTTAAGCTCATTTTGAGCACAAAAGCATGTGCTTTCTGCATATGTAATTTTTGCAAGTGTAATTGATCTGCTCTCGTCCAGGTTAAGTTCTTCATAGCTAAAGTAGTTACCATGTTGGTCGTATTTTTTGGAGTGCATTTACGGTTTTGAATGTGCTGTAACATGGGAACATCTTTGCTTTTAATAAAGCAGCCAGTCTTTTTTGAATAAGAGTTTATCGGTTTAACACATCTTGAGGTATTTAGCACTATATCTATGATTCTGAAGAAAGCAGCTCTAAGATGTTATGGGTATGGCGTTGTTTGGGTGATTAGCCTGTTTTGATTTTGTAAATGTAGCTTTTAAAATTATGGCCCACGTTTAATTTGTTTTCATTAGACAATGAAATATTTTGCCATATGGTTTCACCTAAATTTAGGTGGGCTTCAAAACTGGCTCATGTGCCGTTTCCACCGTATGGTTTCCATTCCCAAATACAGTTATTTTCAAGTGTTTTGCTTTGGATTTATATTTAGACATTATATCACTATTATAACATCACTTATTGTTAAAGTTCAGCATTGGTTTGTACTGAAGTATGGAGTTGCACCAGTTTTCAAAAAAACATTTTCTATACGAATCACACAAATGACCTATTTTGAATTAAAAATTGAGATTTTCGGGGAAAGGTTGCTAGTTTGTACCCCTGTTAACAATCTCTTCAGTTTCTCTTGAATGTAAATGTAAAATGCCAATTCACAAACATACCATGACTTTTTTATATTTAGAGCAACAAAACACTCCGCAATTGTCACGGAAACAGGTGTGTGGAAGCAGGCAGGACTACGAGGACGACAAGGATTCCAATAATGACATTTATTGTAGACACAACAAGGCAGGTTCAGGTAGGTGAGACACACACTCGGGGTAACATTAACAATAACTGACACCAATGCTCAGACAGACAGGAACTAATATGGGGTGAATAATTAGAGGCAGACAGGTGAGCACAATGACGGTGATTAACTAATGATTAGACAGGCTAAACCAACACAAAGGGAAGAAACCAAAACAAACAGTCCACAGGGGCATTACAGAAATGAACATCAATCAAGCAATGACGTTAAATGTTGACTTCATGACAAAAGAAGAAGAAGAAAAAACTGATAGGTTAGGCTTACCAATCTGTTTGTTCACTGTTCTCATTTAATGCATTGTTTTTCATTTTGCCTTTGTCTTTTTCTGTTCTGCACCCCAAAACATTTCCATTCCCTCCTCTATTCATTTTGGTCATGTGACTGTGTCGAAGGCTGAGCAGCAGTTGTAGGCTACTCACTTCATAATAAAATACATGTTTACTAATTGAAATAGCTAAACAAAAGGTTAAATACAAATAATTTGTGTGATCTTGTAATTTCCTTGATTGAAATATTAACTATACATCAATACTAATTACATACAATTTGTAAGATAAAAAAATGTAAAAAACTTTAGTTTTACTATATCGGTAAAAACAGATTTTGTTTTTCTTACAATAACTTGAATGACATGGTTGAATAGCTGAGCATGAGAATGCTGTCAACACAACAATATTTGTAAAAATGAGAAAAAGGAATCAGTTTACATTTACTTGCTGTAGAAAGGGTCCAAATTATAATAATTACACAATAATCACTTGTGTATGTTTTATGTAATTGGTGGAAATCTTGCAGTAACGATGCACGCAAATTTGGGACACAATAAATATTACTACAAAATATGAATTGTTTTTAATAAATAAAAATGACTTTTTATCTTCAAAGAATATCAGTTAAATATATTATTGCATGATAGTTTGTTAGGTACAGTTGAGAAGGTCATGGGTGGGACAGGTAATAATCACAATTTTAAGGGCAAGACAAATATTTTGTTTAAATCTTGTTAATCAAGTTTACTCAACATATCTAATAATTCTCACAAAAAATCTAAAATAAATCCTTCTAATGCTTTAAGTCGTGGGACATTGTCTACTGTATTTGTCAAAAATGCCATACACGATATTTACCAGTGTCTTGACGTAGTTAATGGGGAAGAATCCAGTGATGTTTCTGCATGTTCCCATGTACCACTCACTATCCAGCTGTTCCACATTAGACACCACATCACCAGCCTTCAACATCAGCTCTCCAGGCCCCTCTGAGACACGAACACAGGACAACATATGATTATTATATGAGCAGATTCACAACTGCCACTGACTGTGAATGTAAAGGAGAAACGCATATTTAATTACTAGTCTGAACAACCTGGGGGAAGGATTTCACAGACACATTGTAATTATTCTTTGCAAAAACAAAAAACAAAATACTACTCATAGCCTTAATAAATTATGCTTGCCTTGGAAAATGGCCCTTTGTTTTCTTACACAGAACACAACTGTCTATCTATATTCACCTGGAGTGAAGTCATACAGGGCTTGCACTTGTAAAGATCCAGTATTTTCCACCATACCACTAAAGGAACGTTTTTTCTGTAGAAACACATTGAGAGCCATGATCGCATGTTGACATTACAAGACGGATAATACTACTACAGTACATCTACTATTAAACAATATCAATATTAATTACCTGAGGTACTGGATTGCTGGGTATATTTGTTAAGGGTGTAATAATCTTCATATGTGTTTTCTGCACTGTGCCCTTAGCATTTCCCACTTGGCATTCAAAGGTTTTGCTGTCTAATTCCTCAAGCAAGACGAGGACTTCATTTTTCTAAAGGAGATAAAGGAGAAATGCTTAAATTTCTCACGACTGAAACTCGCTGGCAGAACAACACGTAAAGCATCCGTAACTTGAGAAGATGGCACTATGGGGCTAATGTGAATGTACTGACTTTAAGATCACCTGAAAAGAGAGCTCCCCAGTGTTAGTGCCATTGTAGTCATACTCAGCAATACCGTGGGGGATCTCAAGCTGTGTAAACCAAAAGAATAGGGTAGAGTTGCATTAATTTGTCCAGTTCCTCTGTAATACCATTAAATCAATAAAATAACACATAAAATAACATCTCACAGTGTATTTGTTGTAAAGACGATGTCCAGGGTTGGGTCTCGGTGGAAGGGCAGGTCCTTTTTTTGAAGCTCTACGGTTTTGTTGCTGCCATTGAGGTTGCTGTTCTTTTGATGGCACTATTTGTGAAACTCCTGGATCTGAGGGCCGACGTTGGGAGCCATCTCTCCGTGGAGGAGGAGGTCTTCCTGGGCCTGTTTTAGCAGGTGGCGGTCGTGGAGGCAGAACCTTTCCTCCACTGGGCCTGAAATATTATTAACATAGAATTTAAGGGCACAATACCAGAAGAGACCACATGTTGTCGCATTAAAACTCTAACAATTCACTCTAACAATTCCTAGGCTGATACTGCCCAAACCAACCAGCCATGAAAAGAAAAATGCATAAAGGCATGTTTAGAAGGTTGAATGAGCGAAACTAGGACAGCTTTGAATAAAAACAGGATTAATTTACCGTGGTGGAAGAGACATATCAGATGAGAGACTGAAGGAGTCCTAGGGGGGAAAACAATAAAGAGTTAATATTCAACGTTTAAGAGAAGATTTTTGTTTAAAAACACAATGTGTGCACTGATAATGTATGTACAGAATAAATCAGAGGATAAAACTATATTTTTCATGGTTTGACAGTTGTTTCAGATAAAGATATATTTGGATCACATTTGGAATGATTTTTCTAACAGCTAAATGCCAGAAACATTTTTACACAATTACACAAATGCAGACGTAGATACTCTGCCCATGTATTGCAAGTGTGTGTTATTGTGGGAGTAACAACCTCAATACTAAACAGGATGTTGTTATTATTCAGGTTGCTCGCTGTAAACATTACTTATAAGATCTAACTTGCTCAGCAAGATTGTCTTCAAACTGCTGCTTTGTCATGACAATATCTGACTTGAAGTCGCCATAAAAGTAGTCAGCTAGCACATACTCAAAATCGAGCATGCATAGTCAAGCACCTGCATTCATGTACTTGCAGAGAATGTTTCAGGCCTGAGGAAAGAGAGGAAAAGGAAAACCAAGCAAAGTCCCTATTGCTTCGTTGTGCTCTCTTTGACTTCTCTGAAAAATGTCAAAAGAAAGCATGCTTTTATTTTTTAAATGTCACAAATCTGCAGATTAAAGAGTCTGGTAACTGATCTTGTGAGGTCTGCTGACATTTTAAGACAGCATTTTATCTTAAAGGGTTAGTTCACCCAAAAATGAAAATTAGCCCATAAATTACTCACCCTCGTGTCATCCTAGGTGTATATGACTTTCTTCTTTCAGACGAATCCAGTCGGAGTTATATTAAAAATTGTCTTTGATCTTTCAAGCTGTTTAATGGCACTCAGCGGGTGTTGCAGTGCATAAGTCCAAAAGAAGTTAAATAAAAACCTTAACAAAAAAGTGTCTCACACGGCTCCAGGGGGTGAACAAAGTCCTCCTGTAGCGAATCGATGCGTTTTTGTAAGAAAAATAACCATATTTAAAACGTAATAATCAATTTAATCTAGTTTGCGCTCACTGTTGTACACGGAAGCAGTTCCGGGCGGATGACGTATGGAGGTCGGCTTTGCGCATGAGCCGCTCAGAAGTGATGCATGCGGAAGCGCAGGGGAGAGATCAAAACAAAACGGTCACTAATTAGAAGTACAAAAAAATGAGGATTTGTAAAGAAGAATGTCGGAGGATTTCGATATAAGCCAAGAGGAGACTGTTTTTCCTTTGCTAAAGTAAGGAAACTTTGCTTCCTGTGCTCCTGTAAACAAACGTTGGTTTTCACGAGACTCACCGGCGCATGCACATCGCTGACCTCATACGTCATCCGCCCGGAGCTGCTTCTGTGCACAACTGTTGGTGCAAGCTACATTAAAGTGATTATTAATTTGTTTTGAATATGGATATTTTCTTACAAAAACTCATCGATTCGCTACAGGAGGCCTTTGTTCACCCCCCGGAGCCGTGTGAGACACTTTCTTTTATGGATGGGAGCTTTTTATTTAACTTCTTTTGGACTGATGCACTGCAACACCCGCTGAGTGCCATTAAACAGCTTGAAAGATCAAAGATAATTTTTAATATAACTCCGACTGGATTCGTCTGAAAGAAGAAAGTCATATACACCTAGGATGACTTGAGGGTGAGTAATTTATGGACTAATTTTAATTTTTGGGTGAACTAACCCTTTAATCGCTTACTGCTTTGGTGCTTGTTGCACAGCTGTTGCTTGCTGGGAAAGGCCAGCTGAGGCAGCTGTATAAGGTCTTACTTTGCGAGAAGGTTTAGCAGGTGTAGGTGGGCCCCCCACAGGTTTCTGCACAGGTAAAGGTGGTGGAACATCTGCCGTCTCTTCAGGGTCTGAAAAGCAGTAATCCATCCATTAACCATGCAATAAAGCATCATATTTTATTATTTATTTATTTTAATATTATTATATTAGTATTATTTTAATTCATCACTTCACTGCTGTTTACACTAAAACATATACACTAATGTTCAAAGTTAGGGGTAAGTAAGACTTCTGGGAAAAAAAAAACTTTTATTTAACAAGGATGCATTAAACTGAGCAAAAGTGACACTAATTGTATAATGTTTCCACAAAATATATTAAATATATAAAAATATATAAAAAGTGTTTTTAATATTGATAATAATAAGAAATGTTTCTTGAGCACCAAATTAGCAGAATGATTTCTGAAGGATCATGTGACACTGAAGACTGGAGTACTGGCTGATGAAGAATCAGCTTTGCCACCACAGGAATGAATTACTTTTTAAAATATACAGGTGCATCTAAAAAAATTTGAATATCGTGACATTTTTTTTGTAACTTATTTCAAAAAGTGTAACTTTCATATATTATAGATTCATTACATGTAAAGTAAAACATTTAAAAAAAAATTGTTTTAATTTTGATGATTAGAGCTTACAGCTCATGAAAGTCAAAAATCCAGTATCTCAAAATATTAGAATATTTCCTAAGATCAATCAAAAAAAGGATTTGCAAAACAGAAAAATTCATGTTCTTTAAAGTATGTTAATTTTTGCGCTCAATACTTGGTCGGGGTTTCTTTAGCACAAATGACAGCATCAGTGAGGTGTGGCATGGAAGCGATCAGTCTGCGTCAGCAAACCACTCGGAAGGGGTGTTGGCACTGTGGGCAGGTGCTAAAGTCCTGCTGGAAAGGAAATCAGCATCTCCATAAAGCTGGTCAGCAGATGGAAGCATAAAGTGCTCCAAAATCTCCTGGTAGACGGCTGCATTGACTTTGGACTCGATAAAACACAATAGACCAACATCAGCAGATGTCACGGCACCCCAAATCATCACTTACTTCGGAAACTTCACACTGGACTTCAAGCAGCTTGGATTCTGTGCCTCTCCAGTCTTCCTCCAGACTCCAGACCTTGATTTCCAAATGAAATGCAAAATTTAGTTTTATCTGAAAAGAGGACTTTGGACCACTGAGAAACAGTCCAGTTCTTTTTCTCCTTAGCCCAGGTAAGATGCTTCTGATGTTGTTTCTGTTTCAGAAGTGGCTTGGTAGCCCTTTTCCTGAAGACGTCTGAGCTTAGTGACTCTTGATGCACTGACTTCAGCTTCAGTCCACTCCTTGTGAAGCTCTCCCAAGTGTTTGAATCAGCTTTGCTTGACAGTATTCTCAAGCTTGCAGTCATTCCTGTTGCTTATGCACCTTTTCCTACCCAATTTCTTCCTTCCAGTCAACTTTGCATTTAATATGCTTTGATACAGCACTCTGTGAACAGCCACCACTTTCAGTAATGACCTTCTGTTACTTACCCTCTTTGTGGAGGGTGTCAATGATTGTCTTCTGGACCATTGCCAAGTCAGCAGTCTTCCCTATTATTGTGGTTTCAAAGAACAAGAGATACCCGGAATTTATACTGTAGGGATGGTCATTTAATGAATAATGTAAATATTCTAATATTTTGAGATACTGGATTTTTGACTTTCATGAGCTGTAAGCTCTAATCATCAAAATTAAATCAAAAAAACTTTTGAAATATTTTACTTTACATGTAATGAATCTAGAATATATGAAAGTTTCACTTTTTGAAATAAGTTACAAAAAATGAACTTTTTCACAATATTCAAATTTTTTCAGATGCACCTGTATTAAAAACGGTTATTTTTAAATTGTAATTTAACAATTAACGGTTTAACAAAAATCTTGTGACAATATAAAATCAATCACTCTATATGATGAACAGATTTAATTTAGTTTTTTTTGTATTGTATTGTGGTTTCTGTCCTTTTCTCACACAAAGCCAACAATGGCTCCGTAAGACTCCAAATATATGAACTAGGCTACATCTAACAAAGTATATGAACTACTTTTATGGTGTTTGAAGCCTGACAGTCATGGTCACTCTGAACTATTGTGGCATGTTTAAGAGTTAAGTGAAACAACATTTTTGGGTAAATTATGCCTTTTACTAGGAATACTACTTTAACAAATCGTCACTGGCATTATTTTCCCGGTTTTACACTTTACACAATGTAAAAGTAGGCAATTAATGTGCATTAAATAGCTAAAATATGTTACATATGATTACATTGGCGGTTGGTTACTCAACACTCACTTTTGTCAGTTTTACTGGGGACTCTGATGACTGTGGGTCTCTTGGTCACCCCCTGTGTGTTTAGCCCCATGTAGGTGAATCCCCCTTGACGGGCAGGTTTAGTGGGAGATTGATCTGTGAGTGGATTACATTAAAACATATACACATGTAATACCTGTTTTTGAATTGTATTGTGGTATGGGAAAAACATTTGCACTTACTAGTGGGAGCATCCACATAGTCATTGCTAAGCATGCTCGCTGTGGATGTGATGTTAGACAGAAGAGCAGTGGAGTTATGATTGTTGAGGTTCAGCAGGTCTTTGCTGGGCTGGAGTGGAGTGGGAGGTCTTTTCAATACTTCTTCCTCATCCTGGGAACTTACATTCTTAACTCTGACCAATGAAGGTCGTGATGGAGGAATGAGGGCTGTCCTGAAGGAAGGCTGAGAGTCGAAGTCATCTCTTAAGTCTAAAGACATTTTTTTGAAAAGTTGAGGTCTTGGCGCTGGCATAGGTGGTGTGTCGACTGGCATAGGTGGTGTGTCGACCTCTTCATATAAGTGACTTTCAAATTGTGAAACCTGCTCTTTGGGCTTTTTTACAGAGGGCCGTGGGGCAATGGAGGGTTTTGGTGCCAGCACAGGTGGTTTGGCATAAACCTTACGAGGACGGGGGAAAGGTACAGAAGTTTCTTCATTCTCTGTGCTAGACTGACTTTCAAAGGCCTGTATTCTTGAACGGATCATGTTTTCACTTTGGTTCTCTTTAGTTTGGTTCTGGATGTTGACACTGTTGCTCAGATCACTTTGAGGCTCAGAGCTGAAGACATCTAAGAGTTCCTGCAAATACTTGCCTGAATGGGCATCAGAAGTCTCCACAGGTGTTACAGGACAACCTTCCCAGCTGTTTTGCAGTGGTATCAGAGGCTGCACATTGACCTGGTTGGATGGGCTTAGGGGTTTTGTTTTGGAACGTGGCTGAGGCACCGGACGTGTAGTTGAGACTAGATCAACGTTGGGTTGGGAGTTGGGAGTGGATATAGGGGATCTGGTTTTTTGATCTGGTTTGCAAGGCAATGATGGCCGAGGTGGTTTTTTTGGCTGTTTCGCTGAAACTGTAAAATACCAAACAGTAAGTATTACAATTTATGGTTCACACTGATTTGTGCATTCAAAATCTTGTTAGTATGGACTAACCTCCACTGGGATTTTGGTTCAGCTGCAGGGACGTGCAGGAGTCTGGATGTGTCACATTTTGCTCTTGTGAGTCAGTCTGTGTGGCAATAGTTGTTGTGTGCGAGCGTCGTGGAGATGGTAAAGGTGTGGTAACCTGCTCCTTAGTCTTCTCCTTGATCACCTGCTCATAGGATGGTGGGAGCTGAAGCATGAGAGAAAGGAATCACTCGAACGCAAGCATCAAACCAAGCAAACACGTCACAAGTGTGCAGGAGACATACAGTCCTAGAGAAAAGAGTATGGAAAAAAGAAGGGATGCACAAAATGTAGGCGCCATATCAGTATCTGTGTTTTTTTTTTTATTATCGTACTGTACATTAAAATGTTGTATAAAATTCACTTGAGCATACAGTGTAAACTATTATTTGTAGTTTTTAATGTCTTTTTGTTTTGCTTATAGGCAGCAATATAGATTTAGAATATTGTATCAATATTTATTGGTTATCAGCAATAACATGAAAAAACAATTAGCAGCTTATCAATATCTTAAAATATCTTAAAAATCCATTAAAGGCACAATATGCAATTTTCGCCGCTGGAGGGCGCGTATTCAAAATAAACAAAGAGACAAAGGCGTAGTTTGATGACGCCGTGACTGAGTGTGGACTCATGGGAGTTGTTGTCTTCATCCCCACAGCCGATGCAATCTGACGGGACTCGGGCAGAAATCATGTTCATGGATGAGCTAATGATTTATTAATGTAGTAGAATGAAGCAGGGTGAGGCTGAAAGCTGTCGGAGCAAAACGAGGCCGCTGAACGAGTGCGACACACGACTCGAAAGCAGCGGAGCTTTTATTAGGCCACAGTCGACCGCTTCCGCTCCTTCCGGTCGTGCGTATGTGGGAAAAAAAAGCAGCGCTGTTTTATCATACTAGATACGTTTGAAAGTTCTGTTAGTATGCTACTCTGTGCGGTCGTCACCGGTCTATTAAAACGCACAAATCGAGGGGTTATGACATCATTGGCAGGCGGCACAATGACACTATGGACACGCTCCGTGTCACTAGTTAAATTTGCTTATTTCTCTGGATTTAAACATTCTTCGAAACATTTGGGATAATGCAAGTACACAAGTCAGCAAAATATATTACACTGTTCTAGTGGTTTTTGGATATTTTAATAAAACAATCTTACATATTGTGCCTTTAATATAACAACCTTTTAAAATGCCCCAAAATCCTGACTGAATATTCCTTAATTAAAATATAAAAAAATTATACGTGTGCAGATATCTGCCAGTGTTTAGTGTTATTTATATACTATACATTTTTTATATTTAAATTTTTTTGTATTTAATATTTTTAGTTTAAGTTTTAGTCTTAAGTTTTATTAATTAAAAAAAAAAATTATATTTATTTTTTCTAATTTTATTTTTATTTATATTTATTTTAGTACTTCAACTTATTCTATTTCAGTTAGTTGCCAAAGCAGCATTTCTAATTTTCACACAAGTTTAAGTTTTTCATCATATATTTAATTTTATTTTCAGCTTCAAATAATGAAAATTATTTTGAATAGTTTTAATTTTAGTAACCAGTAACAACACTGATGTCTTGCACGGTGTGACAGTGGAGGTTATATACTACATTATTGTTAGACCAATTCTTTAATCACAGTGGTTTACAAGTTAGTAATTCATGGGTTAGTCTCTCAAATACAAGAACAAAATAGCCATGCTTTAAAAAGTGAAACTAAAGACATGCTAAGGAAACAAAGAGAATCCACACACCTGTCTGGCACAACTGTTTGCTAATGGCAGCTGTTGAACTCGATATAGTGCTATAAATCACTGTACCTGAGCAGAGGTCAGAACGCTCTCACTCCAGATTGGTTGTGTTGTGAAAGCTGTGGATGAAAATCGTCCAGACGCCCCTGGATACCAAGAAGTGGCTGTTAATGGCTCAGCCGATAGGATGGTTATCTCTGGACGCCTGAAAACAATAACAGTTTCCTTATTAATATATATGAATGCATTTCACACAGATTTCAAAGCACAGCTATACAACCAGGCTTGTGTTTTTGTTAAAAAAAAAACACGAGGGGGTTCACTCTGGCATTTTCTACTACTATATTATTACTGAAACTAAGTATTTTTTAAAGTTATATTTTCAGGCCTTTATTTTTAATAGGACAGTAGAGAATTGACAGGAAAGCATAGGGCAGAGAGGGGGGAGCGGGACTGGCAAAAGACCCTGAGTCAGGAATTAAACTACATGTCATTGTACTAACCACAAGGCTATCGGCACCATTAAAGTATTTTTTAAAGGAATATTGCCAGGGAATCTTTTTTAGGGATAAAAAAGTCGTTACTACTTTTCTGCTTTAAAATTGTAATGATGTGTTTGAAGGGATTATACTGGGTTGTATTGTCAATGTTAGCAACTGTAATAAACATGAATGAGCATATGAGACTGATTAAGTGTTTTAGACAGACAAAAGTGTAGCCTAGCAGTTGAAACATGTTCTTCTAAACACTGAGCCATGTTGTCTACACAAGAGATGTGAGTTTGAATCCAGTTTTTGGCATATTGTGATACCTCTCATCACTTCCTATAAACAATTCACTGTCTCTATAAATTAAAAATGGCCAAAAAGGCCAAAATAGTTTCAATAAGCTCACCTTCTTTCCCTGGAGCAGTCTGGTTGTGAGTGAGCTCTCGCAGAAGCTGGAAGATTTGACATCATTTAGCATTTGGACCATAAATATATATATATATATACAGTATATATATATATATATATGTATATATATATATTGTAAGAACATGACATTCCTACAATGTATCCTGTAATTAAATAAGTCTACTATGTATGAAAGTTAAGTAAACCTAGATTTACATAAAATCTTACTTCTCTTAAAGGCTGCTTTGATTGAAGAAAGGGGTCCTTGACTAAAAAAAGCAACAGAACAAAAAAAAAACAGATATTGACATAAAAAAAGCATTCCTGGTCTGTGGGGAATTCTTTAAGTTTTAGTTTTTTTTTTAAGGTCAACATCTCTGATCAGACGCATCTGTTCCAGCTCATACATAAACATGAACACAAGCGAATGGCCAGAGTAAAAGCAAAACATAAACACACACACTACCAGTTTGGTGTCATTAAGATTTGTTCTGCTTGAAAGAAATTAATACTTTTATTCAGCAATGATGCAGTAAATTGATCCAATATGACTGTCACAGTGTCTGGTTGTGGTGCCCTGGACTGGCCACTTGAGGGCGCTCTCCTGTTTTTGTGTTATATGTTGTGAACTCCATTTCCCATAGTCCCTTGTCTGTCATTCTGTCTGATCATTAGCACCTGTTTATTATTTCCGATCATTATCACCTGATAGTCATTTACTCATTATCCCAGCTATATATACCTTGCTCACTCTGTCTGTCATTGCTGCTATTTTGTATTGTCTTCTGAGTTCATAGTTGTCTCATGTTCATCGTGTTTTCTGTTCTCTGTGTTTTGGATTACCTTTTGCCATGTTTTTGTTCTGTTCTGTTCATTTGTTACTTAATAAACAACTGCACTTGGATCTATCTTGTTTTCTCCTGGCATTCCGTGACAGAAAATAGCAGCTACTACAAGATCCAGCAGTTTGTTTTTCCTTTTTTGAATCATGGACCTTCGGATCGTCCCTCCTGCCACAGGGAAGACGCGAGTGATCCGACACCGGACTCTGATGGCTTGGAGGCAGGAAGGAATGGAGGTTGGGGGGTTTGCCCAGACCTTTTGGAAGTCGAAGTCAGTGGGCAAAACCAGCCCAATCAGAAACCTTCTGCAGGGATTTTCCCACCACCTCTATCCTTCAGACTCCCACTAAGCGGCGGAGGGTGAGAAGGAGGACAGGAATGCCCACTCCCGAGCCCGCTCCAGTCCGGGAGCTCACCGAGCCCACTCCCGAGCCCGCTCCAGTCCGGGAGTTCAGCGAGCCCGCTCCAGTCCGGGAGCTCACAGAGTCCAGTCTAGCTCGGGAGCTCACAGAGCCCAGTCCAGAGCCCGCTCCAGTCCGGGAGCTAGCGGGGACTGTTGCGGAGCAATCTGCTTGTCCTGTTGCAGCCGCTGAGGCTGATACTAAACTCTCTCTGCTCTTGTTTTCAGGTACTCCTGAGTTGCTGAGAGGGTTTTCTGTCCCACCAATGTTGCCTGACAGGATTCCAGCTCCGCCCTGGTTGGCCGCCTGGGTTCTGGTGTGGCAGAAGCCTCACTGGCTCATTCCTCCAGCTCCGTCCTGGCTATCTGCTGGGGTTCCTGTATGGTTGGGGCCCAACTGGTTCATCCTGCCGGCCCTGCCTTGGCCTTCCACCCTGCCGGTTCCGCTCTTAGACCCTGGTCTACCTCTGTTCCCTGAACTCCTTCCTTGGCATGGTCCTGGCCCGCCATCCCTCCCCCTGACCCACCTCAGTTCCACCTCCCTCCTGAACTTTTTATGTTTTCTGGTGGAGCGTCTGGTATCCGTTCCGTAG